CAAGCATCCCAATAGATTGTTTCTTGAAAGTACAAGGCGCGTAGTATGGAAATGGATAATATATTGAAAAAAAACTATTTGTGGAAATTTATTTGTACATAAATGTAAACAATTGGTACCGTTCGAACGAGTATCAATGTTCAGTCAGCGAATGTTCATCATAGTTCGGATAAATTCCTTCAAGGATGGAAGGTTGTTGATATTGTGAAGTACTTGCTTCACATTCATCAAGATTTTGGGGTTCCTACAATAACACAAAACCCAATTTTAGATACGTACAGTCCTAATTTATAACAATTAATTAAAAATAGAATCAACTTAACAGAGAAGATATGCAAGTACGATGATAATAACCGTGGCCTCTGAGTTAAGTAAGTCCAGGTAGCCTCCCTGGACAACGTCCTTCCTTTTACCCCGCATTCCACCATACCGGTCACGAGAGCCGTGAAACCATCCGATCACTGTGTTCCGAATTACGTTTTCATCAACATTGCGTAAATGCTGATTTTGTCGGACGGCCTGTGAAGATCAAGACAATAAATGTAAACCTACCACTAAACACGGCATTGAGGAGGCTTCCACAGAAGGACTTTCTATTTTTAGAGGCCCTCGAGAAGGTTAATTGGAAAATTAGGGATGGCCCCAAAATTTCCGATAAAAGGCTCCGTATTATATCCTTCACATTACGTCTGGGTATCTTTAACAAGCCATCGACCTGTAAGTAACCGGTAAGAAGTGAATTTGATCACAAGCGTACCGTTTTCTGCAGACATTATTTGTCTGACTTAAAGCGTTGAAGGAAATGGTCCAGGCTCTCTTGTGAGCACAGTGGCAAACTCCCCACAGCTGCCATCGAGCAGGCAGGGATTGAACGCTGGCTGTCGAGGACAGCAGCACCAAGTTGCTCAAATTTGCCGAGGAGCACACTGTGCTCCGCAGCAATGTGGTCCACGCGTTTCACAAGCATATCAAGTCTTGCACGATAATAAACCATCACAAGGAAAGGGAGGAATCCCTACCGTACATAGACAATGTTTTGTCTATTCACTGCTTCAAAATCATCTAATCTTTTACTAAGGTAACCGTGATGAGCAATATCAAGCGATCTTATGTAAGCTTATAATACACACGCCTATTCAATTCGTTGCTTTGTCTAACAATAGCCTCTAGGGCTTCAAAATGGGCATCAAAGAGGGGGCTTCAAGGCGGGTCTCCATTGCGCTCAAAGCAGCCTGCATCGCTGCTGGGAGCATATCACCTGACGGTAACGTTGATACAGCGGCAGTTGCTGGAGAATTAGCGAGGGAGCGCACCCTAAAGTATGTTAAAGTAATTGTCCTTACTGAGAAGTTGTTGGCCAACCGACAGCGCGTTCAGCCCGTGGCGGCTCATGTTCTTTATCACTTATGTCGTCTTCAGATTCCGACGATAGATGACGACGAATCCTAGAAAAGGAAACATTAGTTGTACTAAACGTTTACTTCCTTCGGCAACCCCTGCCTTTCTGCGTAGGTTCAGAGCTCGACAAA